ATCCAGTTTATTTCCATATCTCAACACAATTAATAGTATGTACTTAATACTCACCTACTTTTAAGCAGTTACATCTTAATAACTATACCTACGAAGAACGTTTACTATAAAATTTGTTTTGTACCTTCCAACCTTATTTACCTCTACCTCGTTGTTTTGTAGTCACTATACTTATTAATGTTCAGCAGTTGATTTTGTTTTCAATAATTTTAGAAGTCAAATGTTAGTTAATCACACAGCACCAATAATACAACAGGCTTATTCACCAGGTACTTGGGTATGTACTACACACTAAATATGATACTAGCTGGTTTCCTAAATCGAAGTAGGTGTATTTGAGCTCAAACCTGGAATTTAGTGGTGGATATCGGACGTCTTGGCCGCTGACCCTACATCCCAATGAACTACTGATCCCACGTATTTTTATTATCACTAATTCGTTATCGTACTTATAATGGTATTTATTCTGAGACTACTGTTCAGTGTCGATAGTTTATATTACTTAACGAAGCTGTTCAAGTTTTTGAAACCGTAGCAGCTCAAAAAGCTCAGTGGTAGCATCTCACTGTGGAGCTAGGTGACTTGGGTTCTAATACCCCAGAAGGCATCAGTTCTCACAACATTGCAGGTATACCTTGTTAACGAGCATAGAATATTACGAAACCTAGGTTCAAGGTTTCTTGTGGACGACTTACTTCAACTATTTATCATTATTTTCCTACTAATTGCTAGCGAGAGTTTAATACAATATTATGGTATTCTACGGGTTCTAGTGCGTATCCTAAATTTCTTATCCACTTACTTCGAAGGAGGTACATTCTATTTGGCTGCAGTTTGATAGTGTGACAGACGTTTGGACACATCACGATTCGAATTTCGTAAACCCTGACTGATCATGTTATTTTCATTAGTGGCGTTGTATCCCAGTAAAGAAATTTGATTAAAGTCGCCAAACGGGTTCAGAAATTATAAAATACAATTATTCAAATAATGTACATGCATGATAATTTGCAGAAAGTTATCACTTAACGCACCCACAAAGTGCGATTCAACCGATCATCAGACGTTTTCGACCACGAAGTCGAACGTCCTCCAATTTGTTTAAAATTTCTTTGACTTCGTGATCTTGTTTTTCCAAATGACCACCTGATTTTGCATTATCATGTTTAGAATTTATCTGTTGATCATCCAGTATTGTCGATACATAATTATCCCGGTAGGACTTTATAATTAAATTCAGAAGCGATTCTGGAGTATTTAAATCGGAGTGGTCAGTGGTAATTTTTGACAGGGCTTTGTGATCAAGACCACACGTTAAGGCCCGTTCAAACACATACAGATCCACAGCTTTATCTTCTGCTAAACGTTGTGAGGTTAATCCAGAAGAAGAGCTTGAAAGTCCAAAATCTATAGGGACGATTCGAAAGTCGGATTCTTTGTTACAATCATCTAGCTGAAATTATGGAGAAGTGTTGAATTAAGGAGGTTAGTGTTAAAAACAGCGTGATTTAACATCTTCATTGCTCAATTGATGATACAGAGCAAGGAATGAATCAAATAACAATAATTTTCTAAATTTATATCCTACGACTCCATGATTTAATAATTTACTGATAGTGTTACACTTGGTAAGCATTTAGCTACCACTATATCAAAATCGAATTTCATAAGTAAATCAGAATGTTGAAACTGAACTAGTGATATACCTTTTACCCGTGTCATCAGTTTCTTCTTTTTCAAGTTCGTTTAAAGGTAGAAAGCAATCGTAAGTATAGGATTTTACTTCTGGAATTTGTTTCAATTACGTTAACATGTTTAAAGCATGAAGATTAGACATAGCTGGAGCAGTCGATCAGAAATTATTGTGACAATCATCAACAATTATTACTTATTTTTATATTTAAACATTGTTATGACTGGTCGTCAATTGCTATGCCTAGTCGTCGCTAATTGTTACGTGGAAATCACTTAATTCTTATACTTTTAAAAAAAAGAACCACTGCAATTCCGCCGACGCAAAGTAAGAGTACTAAGAGTGTTACAAGCGAAGATTTGTTAACCACAAAACACGACGACCCTAGTCGAATGCACTCATTTGTATGTTAATTGTACACTAATTTTGACCATGAATTATGATGAAATCATACATAAATGTTTATACAAAGGGATTTCGAAATAGATATGCACCAAACAAAGTAGTTATCATTAAATGTTTATGTGGGCTAGGATACTTCCCAGGTGCCCAAACATAGACAAATGGTTTACTTAAGGGGCAAATCCCCGAGCCTTTGACACAGAGGTCTAATCCACAAGGCAGTGAAGCGACGTTAGGAGATGCAGTCCAATAGTAACCGGTGACCAACAATAGGTTCATATCACAATTGTCCCCTCAGAGTCATTAACCCCATGTGCACCACTGGTTCAGAATCAGGGTTTTCTAAATCCTCTAAGTCGGTCCTCCATATCCATCAATTTGGTTAAAGCGCCCCTGTCACGAGAAGGCAGTCAGTAGAACTTCCCTGCGAGTGGCCATATATGCGAATTCTCCCAACGCTCGGGCATACCAGGGCATCATTTACACCATCACTACCAGGACAAAAGATGAAACGTCGCGAACTGCGACCTACTTTCTGACAAAAAAAGCACCATTGTTAATGAGATACAAAACTTATGTTATGAGTATTTGTGAGTAAAATATTACTAATTTGTTATCCTAAGTGATGAAGTGTCTGTGAACACACCAGTAATTTATCCATAAAACACCTGATTTTGTTTTTTAACCAGTGCATGGATGTAATCGGTGTACAGAATTACATATGATCGGAAATATATACAACACTTGATTTTTAGTAATGCAGTTACTCAAGCAAATGGCAAATCATAATTGAACTAAAAGAACAATATTATAAAAGCTTGCAAAAAAAGTACCTGTTGAACCAGAATATTGGACATAGTCAGATCACCATGTATTATATGATTAGAATGTAGCTGAGCAAGTAGTCGACCTAATGCCGTTGTTAAATTTCGCAATCGTGAAGCTATTTTCTTCTGGATATCCATGGTACATAAATCTGATGCAGTCGCTAGAGAAGATAAATTTTTAAACCAGTCTTGAAGTGTGACAGCATCTGGACCAACTTCACCGAGCCAAATCCGACGTCGTCGAACATCAACTAGAAGGACTGGAGGGACATCTATTCCTACTTCTCTACAACGCAACATCTGTCTGACTTCAGCTCGCATTCGCTGCATCGATAAAGTAGCATCCAATGTACTATGACGATACCGTTTGACAAATCTTTCTTTAACAATACATGGAAAAGTATATGTTGAGTGGAACAACTTAGTGCGATAGATTCGTGCTTCTGCTCCTTGCCTGACTAAAGTCTCAAGTGACAAAGCATTTAGAACGGAATCAGATAGTAGATCTGGAAACAATTCTGGATTAGACATGTAATATTCTGCAAGAAAAATAGAAAAAGGATGAACTACGCACAGTTTCATCTCGGGAAGCTTTCTTTTATTTGATTTCAATTTCTCTAATCTGATAGCAGCTTTCATCTGAAAATTTATCGATTCACGTATATTTATACGTACTTTCTTGAACCGATGTCCTGACGTACTCGGTTTTAGAAATGACTGTTTATTTGCAAAGATAAATATCATGATGCACAAAAAAAAGGTAATCCTTAAAGTTGATAGATTTTCATTTTTATACTTCATGAGAATGTTCATTATACTGGCGAAAACATGAAAGCACTTTTGAACTTAACTAAACGGGACTCTGTCGTAACGCACAAGAAAAAGCTTCATATGACGCAATAATCACTCTCCAACTATTGTACCAGTTATTCCTTCTGAAGTTAAATAACCATTAACACTGTGAAATACTGAATACACAAGCTAAATTAGGTACTGAAAGATTATTCTAAGTGAAATTTCCTAAAGTTAACCAGGTCTACGGTACTTATTAAAGCTTTAATATAATAGTTTCTGCATATAACTATGCTTTTATGAGTTAGCTCACATTAACCCTATGGAGTCAGTAAAAGTAATGTAGTCACAACAGCGAGTAACATGATATTCGAGGAACTGACGCAAGACACAGGTAATGCAAAGAAAAAATATTTATCAGAACCATGTTATATATTAGTTCAATACACTCAAAACCGGTAAATATCTAATCAAATTGTTCGAAGTGTATTACACACATATATTACATAGTTCCGATAAACTTTATCTTCTCATTTTATTGCCTAAATTTATCAAAGGGGCTGTTTCAAAATTTAGAAAAGATAGCCGAAAACTTCCAAGATGTCACGTAAAACAGGAAGTTTTGAATTGACTGTTATTGTTTGCTTATTTCTAATCACTAGATAGCATATTTGTTACTCAATGGTACTTGCAAAATATTACAAAAAGAATTCTTGATGTCAATAGTCACGGAATAAAAATTTTACATTTGTCCTAAAGCAATCCGATTGGAAAAGTTCATCATCAATTTGTTGTCTTTAACGTGACATTAGTATCCGTTATTCATCTCGTATTAGTTAGCAGGGTAATTCTCAAGGGATATATATATATATATATATATATATATATATATATATATATATATATATATATATATATATATATATATATATATATATATATATATATATATATATTACTTTCACGAAAGCTGAGATCACCGTAAAAACTAATTGAATAGTTAACAAATTAAAAGATATTAAAATTAGTTTAAGAAAAGGATTCAACGGTATAATTGAATATCGTTAACTGAAGCAACATAGATCAATCCACATCACAAAAGGAAATCCATGGTGAATGTAATAAATAACATATTTTTGTTAGCAGATATATATTTTATCTAATATAAAGACAATACAAATGTGAAAAGTTAAATGAATAAAGCATATAGAACGTAAATAATCATTGATAATATGAATATTCAGACGATTAATATATTACGAGGAAACTGCTTGTGTTAAAAGACATTACCAATCGAGAGCCTTTAGAAACTCATCTTCCGTGATTTGTAAGCACTTAGAGGCTTCGATTAGCATCTGGAAAAAGAAGCACACAACAATAATATGTACAATATAAATATGAAAGGAAAAGAATCTAATTGGCTTCAATAACACACTACAAATATTAATTTGAACAGAAAGAATTTCATGCGCTAAACGACGGACATCTAAATATTTTTAGGATATTAGAGTATAAAATAAAAAAGGCTTGCTTATCGTACAAAAAACCATCATGAATATGCAGTTTATTCAGGTAAGGTTATCTAACCACTAGCTCAATAAAATAGACAGGTTATTGTATTACTTTTGATAACAAAGGTAAATTATCATTACATTTCAAACTCAAAATAATGGGAAAAATGAGAGAAAATTCAAGTAACTTAGATTAGATTTGAAAAATTGTTCGAGAGTTCATTAAGTTTATCATCAGTTAAAACTGAGCATTAAACTCTGTAGGCTTGTGCACCATCTGATGTAAATGTATTATAACCCTTATCATTTACCCATCACTTTAAATTTGCACAAAGCCGATACCGAACCACAGCTGGATGTGCTACTTGTTGGTTGCACGAATACACATATGACAACTTAAAGCACTGATAAATAGAGGATGATATAACACTGTGGCATACCACAATGCTTGGTAAAGCATAAGAAACTAGGTAGGAGATAAAAAAAGAACTGACAGTGGTTTCAACAGTAAAAGATAGGAGTAAGGGGAAATTAAAACATAAAATTTGTTCACGAAGTAAATATTTTTATCGATTCAAATAAATAATTGTGCTCTTACTTTTTGTCTGCGCAATATATCGATTAATTTCATTTGCTTTTTAAATGTTGAAATTAACTCGGATTTTTGCTTTTCTAATCGCTTATTTTCAGCCATTAAATCATCCATATTATGACGCATAGATCCAACGCTCTCACGTGTAGATGAACGGATCTTCTCTAATTCAGCTTTATAACGGTCAGATTCTTCAATTGCACGATTAAGACGTGTAGTCAAAGATTTGATTTCGAGAACTTGCTGATCAGAATTACGTTTAAGTGAATCATAATCCTGTTTAAGATAAACAAAATTCAGTTGGTTATATGATGAAATAGAAGTTCAACAGGTATATGAATGAGTACATAACAATTAAACTTCTACCTGAAATTTGTACTTATGATATCGTTCAGAAGAATGATGAAAGCTCCACGACCAAACCATCCAGCTCAGAGAACAAAACTCCATCAAAAAGAGGTATATAGTTTTGAAGTAGTTGGGAATAAAACTTAAATAATACGTTCGAAACATTAATAAAACTGTTTAGAGTTCATGTTTGTCGTTAGGTTCATGTTAAATATTATATTTTTATTATTACTAACAGTAGTAAAAATAAGGGAATTTTGTGTGTTTATATAAACGTTGACAGATATATCGTTTACTTATCATTATTTTTAGCTTAGATTACCTAGTGTCCGAAACCTCATAGCTAGTCACACAAACACAAATCTATTAAAAAGAAAGACTCAAGCGGAAGTTAGAAGAAAATTACAGACAATGGGGATACTACAGAACGCTGGTTACAAATAACTGCATGGATACATAAATCCAAAAAGTTATCACTATCAAAATTCACAAATACACACAACGTACTCATGAGTAGCTAAATATATCTGCATGAAAATTCAAAAAGACACACAAAACTAGATAGAATGTTTTACAAAATGAATCGATTTCGAAAACACAGAAAACGCACCTTGATCTCGTTATGTTAGCCTACGTTATGTTTTTATGCTGTTCCGAAAGAATTTCTAATCACTGCTTCAGAATATCTAATAATACAAGAACTATTTCACTAATTAAACAAGACGTACTTTCTTCCGAAAATACTCGGACCAATGAATAGATGAATAACTGAGAAAATGTTGACCTGAATATTTTAGGCATTATCATCGCGAACCAGCACATTTTGTTTCAGTTCAAATTAGTAGCTAAGTATCAGCTTTTGAAATTGATTTTGTGTAGGCGTCAGTGATACTTTGAAGATGCCTACATTGAAAGTAGGACGAAGTTTAAACTACCCATAAAGTGGTAAAAAGTTAAGCGTTTAAACGATAAAGCTGTCACTTGATATATCTACTCTAAAATTTGCCTTTCATTAGAACTCTATACAAACGACATCATTGATGATGTAAAATGTATTTTAATTGGTTAGTCTACATAAGATCATTGGAAACAAAAACGAAGCAAAGCACAACTATGAAACATTAACTGGATAATAATATACCTTCTTGTAATTAGTCTTTTCTGTTTCTAGTTCATTACAGTGAACGCGTGTTTCGCCCAAGCTTTTTTTCATTTTCTCTAATTGAGATGAATGTGCAGATGTGACTCGATGTAACCGATTACGTTCTTCTTCCAGTTCTTGCATACGACTTTTCATTCGAACAATTTCATCATTCTGAAATGAAGATAGACATTTACCCGAGAATAAAACAAAAATTAACATAGAACAGATGATAAAATTATAGAGACGAGACAAACAGAATCAAAGTGGCATTTAAGCTTTTGTGGCGAATTTAAATATCATGTATAACGAACAGTAGGAATATCTTCAAATTGTGCTCAGAACGTTTAATATAATAATTCAGTTTTTGCTATTATAGAGTAAGAATAATATTGTTAAACTTACCAAACTCACAGTTTTTTCTCAGTAGACTAAAAATAACAAACAAATCGATACTATACATAAGCTCTCAACACTTCATCCTTAAAACAAATATTAATTTACTGACATTATATTTTATGGACAAACCAATCAGATAGCAGTTATTAGATTTTTGTGAGAAATTCATTCATATCCAAATGCCTAAAAATCAGTTATGTTTTATGGTTGATGGAAGTTCGTAATGAAAACATCTCGATCCTCACCATAAATATACAATCCTGACCAAGAAAAATGTGGGGGAATCTTATGAATCTATTTCAGTCTCTATAAGGGATTGAAGAGACGGATAATCGAAATCCACAAGGGCGACCTTATGTTTTTTTAGTACCAGGTAGATTAACCTGTAGAAGACTTCTACAAATTCAATAAGTATGTACAATCTGTATATATTTTGCAGTATTATTGTTTTCGTTTTCATAAACTACGCACTTACAGAAGCGGTTTTCTGATAGACTAAGAAGTGGTTGGAAACACGTTGCGGTTTTTTAGGTCATCTCTATACCATAATCACCCGAAATATTTGCTAAATATACTCTAGTCATACCAAATAATGATTTTTTAGAGACGGTGAAGTATAGGAAATGACACTGAATATACACAAAAAGTAAAATAATCCGAGAAAATGCTATGATGCATGGTAATGAACGAAATAATATCAGCAGTGATCACTAAAGTATCAAACAGATTGGTAACCGTATTGCTTATTTTACACGTTTGCTAGCAATGCTATTTCTAACAGGATATAAAATTATTCAGCCAATTATAACGAATGTAGAACTTGGCAAAGATGTACATCAATACAAGTTACCACGATAAATCAGAACAGCGAGGGGAATTTGAAAGTAATAGAAAGAATTCAAAAAACAGTAAGACCAACAATAAGAAAAGATCACACAGTTTGAAAAGAAAGATTGAGTTTGTGGAGTACAAAGTATGAAATAATGTTGGAAATCAAAATCCAAGGGAAGACAAAGAATGGATGCATGTGCCGCACTGGAACCAATATTAGACGTATCACCTAAGACCTACAATAACCGAAAACGAAGTAAACCATAGGTTAACAACAGCTACGTCTATCCTTCATGTTTTGATATTTGGGCTTACATTAGAGGTAACAGTGCTTACAAATAGATGTATTTTACAGCAATTACCAAGATCTGTTTAGGATAATCAGAATTCGTCAACCACCAACTTATCAGAGCCGATGATGCTTTTAAAATAAGTGAGGTGGTCAACGCATCCAACTACTTTATCGAGTATGATCATTCTCGAACGATCGATGAATCCAATGGTTGATCGTATGAATAGTAAGTAATGTTAGGAAGTGAAAAAGAAAGCTGATTGAGATGAATTAGAGTGCTGTTACAGGTATTATAATTGGAATGAGCGATCTAGGTAGATGCAGACTAATTGGTTAGGGTCGGCGCAACTATCGTAACCGGTGTTTGGAGACGTTGGATGACATGACTCAGAATTATTCGTAAAGGAGCACTCACTCTTAGTCTTCTTCAGACGCTGCGCCCCATAATGTCATATACTTTTACTCCTTATGTAGTGAACGAGAACACAGGTGGGGACAAACGAATGTATTTAGCACAACAATTACAGTCTGTTTCAACAATATCTGAATACCATATATTAAATCGTCAATTTGCAAAATATTCACGCATCAAACCAAACTGGATTGTTTCTGTTGCAAACACTAATCCATTGTCTCCCATTCCATTGTTCATGCGTTTTCTTACAAATTCCATTGTGTTCTCGCTCTACCTTTCTTGATCTTCGCCATCTTCTGCTGCCAGACATTACGTTCTTTTAACGCACGTTATATACTACTTATATCAATATAAGTAGCTCACACCACACTTACTGTACTTAATCTTTCCTACTACTAATGATACTTTCACGACCTCTATCCTGGAATTTGTCTCGCTGTGCTTATCTAACGTGAAAACTTGAACCGATGCACATAAAAATAATATTCCACAGTGCATATGATTAACTGATCAGAGGTGAGAGGGCAGTTATCATTTCCCAGTTGACAATATCATTGAAAGATACTTCCTTCTGAACAATTTACAAAACAAAATATCTTAAAATTCAAAATTACAGCTGACAACGGCCTATTCCCTGTCCCATTACATCTAACCAGAAAAAAAAACAAAAAATAAACGCTGAATACTATAAGTTACCAAAAACAAATCAATGATTGTTGTGGATGCGAAGGATAGACCAATAATTATCATGTTAAGTCCAATGGTGTCCTTGGACTTTAAATGGACATTTCCTACTGTTCGATTTCTGTCCACTTGTTGAATATTGTACAAAATGTTGTTTTCTATTTTTATGGTACGATGTGGTATGTTTGGTTAGTATATAAATAGAGTATGTCTGAAATACAATGATTCATAACTCAGAGGCTGAGATTTGTGTTCTGGACTCAACTGGCTGGGATAGACAGGGAATCGGGACCAATCGTAACTCTAGGTCGTCCGTTACGTTCGTACGTGTTTACGTGTCATTGAATCGGTCGATAAATACACTGCTCTCTAGTTTTTCAGTCAAGGACACAACAATTAGCACAGAGTAAAAATCGACCACAACTTAAAGTCACAACAATGATAAAGGTGTAGATTATATGAGTAACTAAGGAATACTGAGATACTGGAGACCATCTGCTGATGACAATACCCAAAACAGTATTTCCACATTTTGTTTAAAGATTGACGTTTGATGGTAGGATTTGGATTATCCTGCTACTGACATTTTGGCTGAAATCTGACCAACTTTAGTTAGCATGCATGCATCCTGTGCGAACTGCTTCGATAAAGTTATTATCGGACAAGTTTATATAGATGGACTGTAGTTAGTAGTTCAATCCAGTACAAGCATTTCGTCCTATGGGAGACTCGTCCTCTGAGTCCCAGAGTTGGTGCTTTTACTGGGACTCGAACCCAGTACATTCCACTTTAAGCGCCATCGCGATATCAATAACGGAATAATTCCAAACTATATCAACTTGAATTAAGACTCATAGTCTGTTTCGGTTTGGGCACCCGGGCAGTATCTCAGCCCGCACACAAAAACATGATAAACTGTCAACTTATGAAAAATATTCCTCTCGCTCCAAATAACAATCAAGTGACTCGCATTATTATTATTACTATTATTATTATTATTATTTACTACGTCATTATTCACCCTCTTTTATTTCTACTCTGTTTATACTTATTTTTTCGACTTATACAGCAGCTCGTCTATGGTGGAAATTCGACTGTATCTAAACGTTCTCGAATCACTGTCCGGTTGAAAATTTTATGTTACCACCGAAGATGAGTACTGAAGCAGTTTTTCTGAAACCATGTACACCATTCAAACTGGCTACCTTCAACGTTCGCACACTTATGCAGGTCGGACAACAAATAGGGCTGGCTGTCTTTGGAAAGTCTTAATATTGATGTTTGTTGTCTATTCGAGACCAGTATTCAAGACTCTGGTGAAGTACTACAAATTCGATCTCCATCTGTCGCTTCAAAAAGCTTGTTTTACGTGCGCTTATCCGGGGACCCTGCGGCATCTTCGTCTGGTCTTGCTGGAGTTGGTGTCGCACTAAGCGCTAGAGCTGAGGCAGCACTAATAGATTGGATCCCCATTAACAGTCGGTTATGTGTTGTTAGATTAGAAAGTTCCATCACATCGAGATCAGCTACCGCTGGCGTGGTTGTGTAAAAGACTGCCGCTCCTTTTGGAGTACCTATCTGGACTCTGACCATGCCTTGGTCTGAGCCAAACTTACCTTACTTTTCAGTGGCCAACGAAGTGACCACCATCAAAGGTTTGACGCCAGCAAGTTGGTTGCAACTTCTGTTGCAAGTAAGTATCAAACCGAGCTAGTTTCTAGGCTAGCTACCATTCAACGGAAAAGTATAGATGGGCATTGTTTGCAATTGCATGATGCCATGAAAATGGCGAGTAAAGCCCCTTGCGGGTTCGCTTAGGCGGTCTGCTTGAGCACTGGGTTTCTTCAGGCTCCTTACAACTCATTGAAGCCCGTCGGTCTACTCCGGGTAACCGTGAGTTTGACGACAAACGAAGGATGTTACGTAAGGAAATTGGGCAAAGCGTGCGTAAGAACCGAGAAGCCTGGTGCTCGGAGCATGCTAATGAGCTGGAAGCAGCAGCTGCATCTGGTAATTACCGGAAGCTCTTCCAACTCATACGAGCCACTGGCAGCAAGAAGTCTGGTGTGAGCGAAACAATCTGCGACGATGATGGGATACCAATCACTAACATCCATCGACGTCTTGGACGATGGGCAGAATTCTTCGAAGGGTAGTTCAACTGGCCTGCTGCTCCGGCAACATCGGTCAGACTGTTCTGCCCTCCATGGCCGGTGACGACTGATCCACCAAATGAGGCAGAAGTCCTCAAGGAACCCCAACTCTTGAAGCGCTACAAATCACCTGGCCCAGATGACTTACCTTCGGCTCTTTTTAAAGATGGTGGTGACTTTCTGACGCCTTCGTGATGTTAGTCTGGCTGTAAAATGTCGGATCTACAACGCGTCAGTGAGAGCAGTTTTGCTCTATGCTTGTGAAACCTGGCCTTTCCGAGTTGAGGGTGTTAGACGACTCTCTGTGTTTAATCGTCGCTGTCTCCGAAGGATTGCTGACATCTAGTGGCAACACCATATTAGTAATGCAGAGGTTCGGCATCGTGTGTTCGGGCACAGAGATGATAATGCAATCGGTGCCGCCATCTTGAAACGCCGACTTCGGTGGCTTGGAGATGTTCTATGAATGTCGTCCCAGAGAATTCCACGTCGTGCATTATTTGCCGACCCTGGGACTGGTTGGAAGAAGCGGAAAGGTGGTCAGTGTTTGACATGGTGTCGTGGTATGAAAGAAAGCTGCAAAGGGTTGGCTTGTGTTGATCCTTCTTGACTTCTTGGTTGGGGTCTGAGAGATGGTGGTACACAGTGGCTAGAGACGTTATCAGATATGGCTCAGAATAGAAGCCAGTGGCGATCCTGCTGTAACCTTCTTTTAATTTCTTCATAAAAAAAGTGGTTGTGTCTCCCTTAACTGAAGGAATTCTTCTGGTTGTACCTTTCCGTTTCCCGCATTATTATTTCTTATATTATTATTACACTACCTTATACCAACCTCTTCCTTTTTGTCCATTTTTTACCCTCCTTACCTTTTTTCCTTTTCCTTCTTTTTAAATTCTCATTGTTTTGTGTGGCGCATATATATTTGGCGCACCCTTGTACCAATATGTATGTGTTCAAATAATAATAATAATAATAATAATAAGACTCATAGCTGCTGTACAAGTTAGTGGTTACTAGGATTCAGTAGCCAAGTGGATAACGTGACTAAGTTTTAAGCAAACGGTATTAGGTTCGAATCTTGAAGGGGAAATCAACTCTGGGACATAAGCTAACCCAGCCGACGAGCCATTAAAGAACGAAACCCGTTTTAGGTTCCACTGTTAGCCATAGTCCATCTATATAAAAATGTTGGTAAGACATATTTTAAATTCGGTAGCTTTCAAGGGAAGCATATTATTTCGAAACGACCCTCTAAACAGATGCACTGCAAAAAGCTACGATTTTATACCATAGATCTAAATGATAGAAAAGTAAACTGCACTAAAAACAAGATAAACTGGTAGGCACTGAGAAAATCCTCTTACAAATAATCCAAGAAATAGCACCTTAATCCTACGTTTATACTCGAGGGTAGATAGTATGCACGGTATATAAAACTTTAAATAACAGCACTGGCGCGTTGCCACATAGGTTTCGGTCGTTTCCTAATGTGCCTTACTTTTTACTATAACAAGAACTTACATTCGCCTTGTCGTACCAAACTGAATTACTTTCTAGTCGCTTAGAAAATCTAGAAATAGTATACAAATATACAAATCACTTAAGTCGACATTAAACACTCTTCTAGCTATTTTAGGCTAATGATACCTGTAAAAATATAAGTAGCTTAAAAATAACGATTAAACGAACTTGATGAGCCATCTGTGAATTGAGCTTTTGATTTTCTTCTAATAGTACGCGGACTTTCGCTTTCAAATACCGATTTTGAGCTTTCAGACCTAGACCTTCAGTAGGTTCTGGAAGAACATTTCGGTCGTTTATTTCATCCTTGCCTGAATAAAGCTGAAATGTAAATAGCAAGACAAAATAACGTTACAGGGAACCAAAGTATTTCATGAATTGGCTGTATAACACCATATTTAACGACTTGATCTATCGAAAAATCTTATTTCGATACAGGAATGTGAATTTAATTTCTATTTTACGAACTACTAATTTGAGTTGGGATGAGAAGTAGGAGAAAAGGTAAGGTTAAGTAAACAGGTGGACTCTTGGTAAGAAGTCAACTTAAAAACCTTTATGTCATAACATAAATAAGAATAGTATGGGATATATGTTAAATAAGAACTTTTGATACAGGTTTCGTTTATGCACAATTCATTTTAACGTTTAAGGATATAATAGAAGTAATTAGCCACTGATTTCTACTCTGATCTGCTTGATGACACTTAAACCACTGAATTGGATGACCTTATGGTGATTAAATGAAATGTACTTATGTTGAGTTATTATTCTCAATTCATGGATGAGTATCTACATTAAAATCATTACCACTCCTATTTTATCCACTGTTTCAGAGTTAGTAAATAGTGTTAGACATAGACGATACATGAGTGAGCCACTGAAGCGTTGAGTCAGTGTAAAAAACTGTAGGCGCTGGTACTATTCTTAAGCCCACATAGGTTATTCTAGCCTCTGGACAGACCAATCTATTCAATCTTCTCAAGCCACATTTTTACCCCATCACTTATCCAATTATTAACACCGACATTTTTATATGGACGTATATGTGTTAATCACTTGCCCTAATTATTGTGTCTGTAACTTATGTTTGTCTGAATATAAATATTAAGTCATGCTTGATAGAAACGAACGGGCTGACTCGCCTTCTGCACTGCACGTCATTTTGTTTTGTTTCACTTTCTCCTCTTTGCTCCCTTCACTCCGTCTATCTGGATCAACGATTGTATGAAATATACGCATTTAAAATCCACTCTCCGTTATTCACTAACGCGATTTAAGTCGATAATCATACACGAGGATAGCTGGAATGTATATTTCGATAACGATCAATCGTCAAGTTTTGGGTCGCTAAAAGCCATCAAGTCACATGACGTCTCTTTTCGTTCTTGAAGTTGGTGTCTGCCTTAGGTTAACGATTGTCCGAACAGTATTGCCTATCTACCTAGGAACTAAAACTACTAGACAAAGTCACTAGGTCCAAATGTCCAGCTTTATAGATAAGCCAGAAACGTTTTCAGCTCAGTAGAAGAGTAGGTAAAGATAACGATATCTTGTTCCTTGCGAGTCCCTACTGTGTCATCTAATGGAATGGAATTAAGATGACTACAACTGGAATTCCGTCTGTATCATTCTACTTTCATCATTAGTCTTATACCTACAGCAGTAAGATCGGGAGAATTTGCTACAGCGCTTTTAGATACCGATAGAGCGAAATGTGTAGGATCTTCACGATAGCTAGGCGAGGTCAGGTGGATATCCATGATCGGATTGTGTTGTATGAGTTTTAAACGGACAACATAAATGTAACGGGATCCTACATTCCTGCCAGTGAAACTTGTCCTATTTAAAGTTCAGATATTTAGCAAGGAGCGTAGTTTTAAAAAGCCAAGACAAATATTTTACAAGCTTAGATTGTTTGCATTAGTTGAGTATGCAAAAAAAATAACATTAGAGGATCGATAACAAAAAAAAGCGAACTTTAAGATGAAGGGAAAGAATTGACACTTGGAAGTAAAGTGAAACTATGATTTATGGACATTTGAGCGACACTGAAGTGACTTTCAGAAGACTTACTTATTTACTAGTATCAAAAGAGAGTTAAAAATTAGTATGGTGATTTCGGATTAAGACATCGACTTGGAATTTAAAGTTGAGAATTAAAGAAGGGGTTTTCATTGAGAAATAGCATCAGCTATATCGCCGAAATGGTGTTTAACTACATGAATGAACTTCACTCCAAAATCCAAGACCTGCTACCCTTAATGTCAATGATTCGTCTATAAATTATGTTCTCTCCGAAAAGAATACTTTGTTATTCACAACTCAAGCTAGTATTTCTTTACATCATAAAATGATAAACTAACACACAACTTAAAACAAACCTCGTGGTTAAGTTTATGTTCGTCGACAGGAGAACTTATTCCGTTTTCAACTTCACAGGTATGTTCAGAATCTTTCTCCAGAAAGTCACTCTTTTCTGTCATAGGACTTGTGCGATATTATAGTTTATAAAAGTACCTGTAACATTCTGGGTTTCGATTTCGCTGGATATACGAGCATTCATCAATACCCTGGGCTTCCTGAGCCTAATATGTTATTTAGTAAACGACGGTAACAAATAAACTACAAGTATTTTGCCTGCGCTTCTCAAAAGATCATTTGTTTTGGCCTCCAGCAAAGAGTTTATATGTCTTGAAAGTAAAATGGCAGTAACTCATACCTATAGTTATATTCTTTATCCAGACATCCACTCGCAGGATTAGCCAATGCATCACGCACCAAGGAGCTCATGAACAGCGGGGTCGCGAAGGTCAACACAATACGTTTATGTATTGCTATATTTAAAAAATATGACGTTTTCTTTTTCAGCTCAGAGCTAATTAAAAAAGCAAAAAGGGGTAATTTTATCTTGTCGTTAGTGCTCAAAATACTTCACTACTAGAAAACAAGTTGACTATTTTAAAATACACGGATCCGTGTACTGGACATTACAAGCTCGAGCTTGTAATGTCTAGTACAAATCAACACTCATGATTCATCCTAGCTTTTGTACAAACCACAATAATCCAGACAGAACGTAACATCTAGTCATTTCTACCTTCATAATAACTCTTTCCACGGGAAATTGTGGCCTTCCATGTATATACATTTATAAAGAAATAACATCACTTACAGTAGGGTTACTTTCTTCCGGATGTTGAATTTCAGGGGATTTAGATAAGTTTATCGGCAATGGGATAATTTCGACGTCAGAGATTTGTTCAAAATCAGCCTTCAGCTTGTGATTTCCAAAATTCAGATGCGTCCGATACCTTGATACTAGTGGTCTGTAAATAAGCAAAGATGAATGATTCAGATTCAGATTTGTGTAGTAAGGACAGAAGGCCTACGGTCTATTTTATTTCTCTTCTAGTATGCTTCTGTGAGTGTCCAGTCTTCTCTTGAAAGAGTCAATTGAAGGTGCGAACACCACTGCTTCAGGCAGCAGGTTTCAAGTATTGATGACGCGGTGTGAAAACCTGTATGTCACAGGTATTTGTTCGTTCTTGGCTTTTCTACTCGCCTGCTATGTCCCCTAAGGTGCCCCGATCTAGTGGGAAGAAAGAGAGAGAATAAGTTAGGTCCGAAATCATGTCTCAGTATTCTGTACATCAAAATTAGATCTTCCCTTAAACTACGATAAGACAGAGTAAAGAGGTCCAGTTTTTCAAGCCGCTCTTTGTATGATAAACCCCTGAGTTCTGGAATTGCACGCGTAGCTGCCCTCTGTACTTTTTCTAGTATGTCCGAGTCACCTTTTAAACAGGGGCTTGCAGCCTGAGCGCAGTTCTCTAGCTTAGTTCTCACTAAGGATGTGTATACTGTGGTGAACATGGTAGTATCTAACTTAGTGAATGTCCTTTTTAAAGCCCAGAGGGTTTGAAACCCCTTAACTGCGACCTGCCGGCAATGGGCCGTCGTCTTAAGATCATTACTCACTGTCACCCCTAGATCCTTGTGAAACCGGACTACGGGTAATGACACATCCCCTATGTTGTACTTATTAACCTTTGAATCTCCCAAGTGCATGTAGACACACTTTTCCACGTTGATAGGCATCAACCACTCTTTAGACCAGTTTATCATATTATTTAAGTCTGCCTGAAGAGTAAACGCGTCTTTGTCTCCAGTTATTACTCGCCAAATTTTTACATCGTCAGCGTATAATAACATTGGAGACTGTACTATACTTGTAAGATCATTAACGTACATTATAAAAAGTGAAGGACCTAGGACGGAACCTTGGGGTACTCCACTAAGTACCGGTCTCCAGATGGAGCACTTGGAATTTATTCTTACTTTTTGTCTACGACCTACTAGGAAATCTTTAATCCATTTTAACAAATGTCCGGAAATACCAAGGTTTCCCAACTTCACTAGCAGTCTATTAGTTGGCACCTTGTCAAAAGCCTTACTGATGGCTAGAAGTGGAATCAAGGATGCGCGTTTCGTCCTTTTTAGACCCGTCGGCTGGATGGGCCTGTAGCCAAATGGATAGGACGATGAAGTTTGAAGAAAACGGTACTGGGTTCGAGTCCCGGGTTGAACATCAACTCTGAGATGCAGGTACATCCAGCTGACGAGTCTCAAATAGGATGAACCGTGAGTACCAGATCGAACTGCTAGCCACTGTCCATTTTTGCTTATAATGTTCTTGACTTAAGGCAATTTCGAGGCATTTCGTAGTCCGAATTCACGAGAATGCAGAAAACAACCGAACTGTGTGATAATACGGAGGCTGTCTTCAAACTTGACAGTAGCAATTCTGCGTTATTTCGTACGCTTCTGTACACTAGTATGGTAACAAATTTAGAACGTCATGCTATCAACTTCAAGACCCAGCCATAAGGTTGTCTTAGTTCCACATTTTCATTTATAATTGCTATAAATTCCCTTCTTCATTAGACGAAAGCACATTTTATTTGCTTACTGAACCATCGGCTTACTTATTCATTGTTTATTTCTTCTTCACGATCCTCCCACACACTGCTCTTCACACTTTTCTGACAAATAAAACATCCTTAGACTGGATGAAGATATAACAAAAGCTGAAGACGACAGTATATATAGTTATAGACCAAGTATTGTGTTCTGATTATATGGACTACGAAGCGTGTGACTGAGAGCTCTAAAGGCACACGAATATTGAAAATCCGAGAAATAATCACAGGAAGCGTCCCAGGATGTTCGCCAGATAACAAATTTAGATACGCGACTTCTAGCAGGGAGTTTCTAACCGTGCATTGTAACTCTTTCGATACTGTGCACAATTCATTACATCTAGGTGTCTGAATATGTCTAAGGCTTACGTGACAACGATTTTGTAGTTTTAAAATGAACTAAGACATTAGGAAGTGGGAATACTGCCGTGTAAGTTGGTGAAATTAATAAACAACTGAACATTGAAATTCCCCTAATTTAGCCTTCCGTTTGATGCATGTTTTGACGGCGGTGTGCTCTCTACTGCTTTATCTTCCCATATGTACTGACTAATTTACACTAATACTCCGTGTTGTGACTATGAAAACCCTTATCGCCTACACCATAGCGTGCTTTCGCTAAATAATGATTTACTGGCTTTGGTTATTCGTTGTATATTACAGCCAATAATCGATCCCAATACTGATTCCGAAAAAATGTTTGTCTATTACAAGCATGGTGGTTACGTTGGGGTCTTTTTCAACTTGATATCCATCACATTAAACAGAGTCAATATTATTTACTACATGTGCGGTAGAATGAAATTTAACTGCAAATACACTGCAGCTGAACACATTTGTGCAACAGCAATTTGAATTCCGGGAAGTTTGTAGAATTTTAATCATCTTAAGTGAACACAGACTTTGCCTCCTAAATCAACCCTCCTACAAACCCCGAATTCTATGTTACTCCTCACGCTCTTTGAGATATATGACACAAGCCTTTGAACGAGCAGTCCTCGATATGGCTTACAAAGTGTTCCACAGTGTTAAAAAAGGAAACCAAAGTATTTTGCCACCAAAAAAGTCAAAAATGGAGAATACGAAGTCTCTCTGCTTGTATGGAGGACTCTTCGCAGATCATATACCCACCAAACCAATGAAAACTATGAACACAAGAATTTTAAAATCATTGGCTTATTTTGGTCGCATAGCACTATAGTTGGTTGGTCTACAAATGGATATAGTCAATTTTGAATGTTGGTCCATCAGTGTGGAGGAATAATGGGACAGCTCAGAAGCATCGAAAATAAAAGTAAGTAATTTGTCGTGGTATTGATCCCTAACCACCCGATCTTGGGAGCTAAGCATATAATTACTGAGACTTACATTCCATATGTAGTATCTAGAGGTCAAAAATGGTGGGCTCAGAAATTATTAATTTGTGTGGCATGACTCAGCCTAGTAGACGTAGTCATTCTCTACAATTCATAACTTTCCACATCGAATATGTTATTTTGTCCCCAGCCGAAGTATTTTAAGCTGAAGTACCTCACAATCTCCTGTCTACTACCAGTGGCCTTACATATATGTAACTTACAATACATCAACCGGTTAGGATAGCACAAAATAACAGCATCAAGGTAATGTGAATTCTTTCTTGTCTAGTTTTCATCACCTTTCTGCTCTCACGAACACAATTTTGACTCACAACTGATTCTATTTCGTCACCCATTGTCCTATCTAGAACTCATATATTCCTACGCCTTTCTGCCTACTTCGGTAAACGCCTAACCCTCATCATACCGTTCTGAATAATGATGATCATGATAGTAATAATATATTCTCAGACAACAACATGTTTACAAGAAATATCAAATTGTTACGAAGGATACAAGTTTTACCTTATTAAGTGACTCACGATGACATATTATAGGGTACAGTGGTTATATAAACATTAAAATAATAAGGTAAGACTCTAGTGTTTGATATTAGTTGGCATGCTTTGTGAAGATTGAGTTGCGACGACCAACTGATGGTCGAAAATATGATAGGGTCATTCGGCAGAAAGTGAAAATGATTCAAGGTCGCAGACACGAGTCAAAGAGGTATTTGGCATAAGAAATTGACATCAATACCATTACTTCGTGACATCCATCTTGACTATAAAGGGCAGTAATTTAGCAAAATGTTCCACCTTACAAACATCTAAGCTCCGTGTTGCACACCTGGTTGAAATACACTGACTTTACTAGTTCCATGTAGAAGACAAGACAGATAGCTAGAGCTCCTTTATTGTTCAATGAATATAACACTGCTATGAAGTTAAATAATGGTATAAGAAATAATAATGACGGATAACAAATCAAGCAATATAAATGAAGAGTTTAGGGTTGCAAAATTTAAGAGTAAGACGATAAGTAAGTAAAAGACACAATTTATGAATGCTAGTAATAATGAAAGATTTTAAACTAGTACAAGGTGAACCAGGAAGTCACAATAATTTGATATTCTGAGCTTACTAT